GTTTGAGCATAGCCCACTCATATTGATATTGTTGGCGACAACCGCCCGCCCCTGGGTGTCGGGCCTTTGCCTTCAAATCTCAGGTGTTGCTGTAGTTGAGGGGGCTGCGCGACGGCGTGATCCTTGCTCTCTCTAGGCTGAGCCTTAGAAGAGCACAGACGATCAGAATATGTGCGCTCGCTCGTTTCTAGGGGCAGAGCAGCGAACTAAGCATTACTCCGCTCAACTGCAGAGGGGGCAGGTTTTTCTGGTCGTCTGAAAATGCTGACTGGTTTGTCTTGTCTGAATGTTTTTCGATTCAGGGCGGTCTTTTCGATCTGAATGCATATTTCTACAAACGCTTGATACATGCAATTACACACGATGGGACCATTGCTCAACAGTGCGCGTTCATGTCGACGGTTCAACCTATTCCAATGCATTACAAGGAGGAGAACTTTTCACTATTGAAGGTATTTTTTATTGTGCTGGACGTCATATGGTCGTCCCTTTAATGAGCGATTTTAGGATATTGTGGTCGATGCAAACTTGATAACGCGTTTCATCTCGAATGTGAGCGATGCTGAGCAGATGTTCTACCCATCAGCACTTGAGGTATGCAGTGGAATGTTTCTCAATAATAGAGTCGGCATGCCTTGTAAAATGGGAGAAATCGGAATAATCGGAGAATCCTTGAAAATGAAAATGCCTATCGATTTGAGAATGTTAGAATCTGTGGTTAGGGATTCGATACATGTCGATTAGCTCCGCCCAACTGACAGATTTGGGAATCGAATATCAATCGATATGTGTCTGTCTTCTAGTACTCTTGTCCTTCATATCGATATCCCGATTTCGCCACATCGCATGGCAGTAAGAGGCGGTGTTACGTATCCCATAACCATTCCGTTCTGTTATGCCACGTCTCTACCTCTCTTCCATCTGGACATCGCTGCTCTTGCAGCCACTCCTCTTACTGCCCTCCGATATGAGCTGTATGAATGTGGTCTCGTCGTGATTTTCAAATATCTTCATCGATAGCCTAAATGAAAACCTTCAGATTGCGGTTGTGCATGTCGCTGGCTCAATTAAGTGCTTTCAATTATCGCTACCTAGTCTCCCAAATCAGGTCAGCTAATTTACATTGAATTTCTAATGCAGCTCAGGTTTAGTATAGGTTTTTACAGTTTAAACAAGTTCGGCCGCAGTTCGACTTTAGGGGGGGCGGTGCGTTCACGTCTAGCTCCTCTCCTCGTAAATAGTAGCGGTCGCCACTTTACCGTTGTGGCTCACTTTCTCAGCTTCCCAAGAGTTCACATGTTTCACCAGAGTAAGACTTGTAAACCGGAACTAGTGAGTCAGCAAAAGTGCAGACACTTTCTCCCCCCTCCCGTCGTCGTCGAACTACGCCCAAGATCTCTGTAGTATCCCTTGGCGGAGCTCCGATGGTAGTGATCTTCTCCCAGAAAATGCGGAATTCCGTTTCCTCGAGAAAAACAGTTCACCCACCCCGAGAGAACCTTTACTTCGTGAGCTATTGAACCGTGAACCTATACTCAACCCGCGCCCTAGATTGCTTTTGATTGCCGCAAGTTTTTATTCCAGTTGTTATCGACTATCTGCGCCGACCTTGAAATGCATATCGCTGACCCTACTTCTGCATCGGCATGGTTATCTGCTTTTGGGTTTCTACAAGATCTCTCGCACTGGAATCTTACGATGATAGCGTTAGTTTGTTATCTGCTTGGCTGTTCATACTTCTGCGATCAGCCGGCTTTGAGCGTTCACCAGCGTTGTTGCAGCACGCAACCGAGAGTTCAAAATTGGGACGCCTTGAAGCGCTGGCATACGATTCAGCAAACGCTAATGCAAACTATAAACGCAGTCTTGGTAGTAAAGAGCACTTAGTGTTGACTTATTTCAGCATGCCAATTTGTATTCGGTACTAAGCACACTCATAAGTCATCAGCGAGCAGGAGCGATTGTGCATTACATCAGACATTCTGATTCCACTGAGTCACGTCATCTGATCGCTGCATGGATTTGGCAGGAGATTGACAAAGCTAGCAGGAAATTACATGAGACAAGTCAGTGAATAGTCTTGATCGCTACGGATGAAGCACATATCGGGCGGAGAGGGTTTAGCGACGCGCTAGACCTGCTTCTACCAGCTGTTGAAGCGAGCAAGCGACAAAACTATCATATCGTCAGTATCAGTCGTTTTCCACCAGTTGTTATCGCTTGCCCGCCACAGCACGTCAATGCGGATAACAGAATTCGGCGGGCATGTCATACCGCCTGACACGCCCTTTTCCCGCGGCGAACAATGCTGTAATTGTACCGTATCTACAAACACGAGTTGCCTTTTTTCAGCTGAACCTTTGTTCGCAAGGTTCTCTGGTCCTTTAAATCCTGCCGGTCAGAAAGCCCTGGCTCATGTTCATGATGTGTTCGTTGCTGGAGTGCACATCATTCTGCGCGAACTGGTTAACGTTGAGGAACGTGAGCAGGATGAAACAAGTAAGTTACAGCAGGGCATTTTTGAAGGCAGTGGATACGATTGCTGGAGCCCGGTTTGTCGCCAGCGTCATTGTGGAGAAGGCTGGGAGGGGTCGATTTTGCGACCCCCCAACCTCCACCATGACGCTGGCAAAAACGGCCCGCCCCAGCGATCGTACCCACTGCCCTCTAACTTACTGTATGGTAGTACTGTCCATGACGGCTTTCAGAGGAATACCTGACAACACTGGAGGCTCGTCGTTTTGCAACGGAAAGTCTACGATCTTATTCCACGGTCATTCACCGGCTGATGACTGCACGGATTCTTCCTGTCGCCGAGGATAGAGAGATCCGCTTAGCGATGGGAAAAGTGTTAAGTGAGCGCAGAGCAAAAACTTCAGGGTGAGTTTGGGAATTGGCGCAGCTTGGCGATAGGGGGTCGGGTTTCGGCCCCGCGATTTTCGCTTCCCGTTCACGTGTCAAGCGCGTAAGTGGAGACCTGTGAAATCTTGTGAGGCCGTGAAGTGATACCAGGCAAAGTTTGAAGAAATACTCGTAAATGCTTATAGCTCGACGAGCCTCCTACAGCTTCCCAAGAGTTCACATGTGTCACCAGAATGAGACTTGTAAATCAGAACCAGTATAGGCGATGCTAAATGCCACCCCCCCCCCTGTTGCCGAACTGCACACGGGAATTCTATTTGTACTATGTCTCGTAATAATATTTGTTCTTTACAGTCAACTCAATATTGATAAGCTTGTCTCTCGTATGCGGCAAAAATGTCCCTCTGAGCCGTTCTGGCACGCTGAAGGTCCTCAATGGTATCCTCCAGCCTTACTGGTTCGTTCTTTAGCAAAACTGCTAACAATAAATGTAAGAGCTCCCACTTTTATTCCGTTTTTTTAGAATCTGCTAGCTCCGATACTTGTTTTGAATATACCTAACAAGTGGAAAGGACAACTACTCGCTTTCTATCTGTTGGATTATGCCAACTGCAAAACTTCACACAGTGATGAATTTGAAGTGGTAAGTGTTGAAAATGTGCAGTCTTGTTTGCTGCTGCTGATGCTGGGAATTGTCAGGGGGGGGAGGGGCTGGAATTGGCGCGCCGCCAGCCCGTTTTCCACCAATCGTTGTCGCTTGCTCGCCTCCACAGTTGGTGAGAACGGTTTGGCGCTCCACCAAACCCAGCTCCCCACTTCCCCTGACACGCTCCAGCAAACGCAGCGAACAAGACTGTATGTGCTGCACTTGTGTAGTTACCGTGAACTTTCAACTTTCAGTGCCCCTCCGTAATCGAAACGGTGAAGAAACAGATGTTTGGCATCTTAGGCATGACAAAGGATGA